TGGGTGGGTGGGTGTGTGTGTGTGAACACAGAGGACATCACGGGGGGGGCCTAAGGGAGCGTACACGCACCCTGCCTTGTGATGCGTTCCCCTGTGTTTCTCTGCACCCTTCTACAGGTTGTCCACGCCATCAACGATGTCCTGTTCCCAAGAGTCATCCACCTGCGCAACGTGGACGCTACCGTGGCCAGCTTCGCTGCCCTCGGGTTCCCTAACTGTGGTGGAGCCCTGGATGCAATCCACATCTCCATCCGGGCCCCAGAGCATTGAGCAGCCCATTTTATGAACAGGAAGGGGTACTTCTCGATCGTACTCCAGGCCCTCGTGGACCACCATGGCCGCTTCCTAGATGTTTATGCGGGCTGGTCCGGCAGGGCACATGACTCCTTCATGCTACACAACTCCGGCCTGTTTCGCAGGCTGGAGTCGGGCACCTACTTCTCCCGGCGGGAGTTTTCTGTCAGGGATGTGCCTATGCCCATATACGTCATCGGGGACACGGCTTTCCCTCTGCTGCCCTGGCTAATGCGGCCCTACACAGGGCAGCCGGACCAGAACCAGGCCCGGTTCAACGACCGCCTCAATCGGGCTCATAATCACATGGAGTGCGCCTTTGGCTGCTTGAAAGCCCGCTTCTGGTGTTTGCTCACCCGTCTTAAGATGGGTCAGCAGAATGCCACGGAGGTAGTGGCTGGGGGGTGCCCACCTCTCTGCTGCCCTGGCTAATGCGGCCCTACACAGGGCAGCCGGACCAGAACCAGGCCCGGTTCAACGACCGCCTCAATCGGGCTCATAATCACATGGAGTGCGCCTTTGGCTGCTTGAAAGCCCGCTTCTGGTGTTTGCTCACCCGTCTTAAGATGGGTCAGCAGAATGCCACGGAGGTAGTGGCTGGGGGGTGCCCACCTTTGTGGAGCAGAGTGGGGAGGAGCCGAGGGCCAGGCCTATGAACAGCCCCCCACAGATGCCATCCGCCAGGCGCACCAGGATGGGGTGCGCATCCGGGAGGCCCTGATGGACATGTTCACCCAGGCCCTATAGTAGGGTCACCTCAGTCTCCCTTCACAACTCCCTCCCCTCCCCTCTCCCCTCCCAATAAACACCAAACACAGTTTTGTTTTGAACAGAAAAAACTTGTATTTTTTTATTTACAAGGGGAAGAGGGGGTGGAGACCTTGAACTGGGAGGGGTGGCCCCTGCAACCACTCCTGCAGGGACGAACCTGCACATGGGGGGCAGGCTGCACAGGGAGGGGGGCAGGGGCAGGGCTAGGGGAGGGGTG